AAAAGGGATGCCTGGGTGGCTCAGTTGATAAAGTGTCCAACTCTTGATTTCCTTTCAGGTCATGATCTCAGGGTTCCTGATTTCCAACCCTGCCTTGGGCTCTGCTCTGACAGTGTGGATGGAGCCTGCTTGGGGTTCTCCGTCTCCGTCTCTCTTTCTGCCCTTCCCCCACTTGCTTGCTCTCTTTCTCTCTCTCTCAAAATAAATAAAAATAAATTTTAAAATAAAAATAACATGAGGGGCACCAGGATAGCTCAGTCAGTTAAGTATCCGACTTCGGCTCAGGTCATGATCTTGTGGTTTGTGAGTTCGAACCCTGCTGAGCTATCAGCACAGAGCCTGGAGCGTGCTTCAGATTCTGTGTCTCCCTCTCTTTGCCCTTCCCCTGAATGTGCTCTCTCTCACTCTCTCTCTCTCTCAAAGAATAAATAAATATTAAAAAAAATTTTTTAATAGCATGAGTTTCAGGAAATCAAGACATAAAGGACCAAAGGGTTATTTTATTATCTCCTTTATTTTGTACCCACAGGCAATACTATCACTGCCAGTGATTTTTTTTCTTTTCTTTCAAGAATCTAAGCAGTTCAGGAATGCTACTGATTTGCCTTGGGGGTGGACGCACAGCACCTACCTTTAATACACAGACCAACCCTGTGGGAAACACTAGAAAACTGCTTGAAAGGAGTCCTAATCATCTCAAAACATGAGATCTTCATCAGAGCAACAGCTCACTGCTCTCAGAAGTTTCCTGACACTACCACTGGAGGACTGCACTGGTCCACCAAACGTTTACCCAGTACAATCATGTGCACTATGCTCAGTGCTTGTGATAATACAGTGAACAAGCCACGGTCCCTGCTCTCATGGCATTTACATCCTAGCATTGAGAGAAAACAGTAAAAAAAGCAAACAACAAAGCAGACTGGGTGTCACATATTCAGAGGTGACATGAACAAATGTGACTGGACAGAGGAGGGCTGATTTGGATTGGGTAGTGGTATTCCAGCTTAGACCCAAACTGTAGGTCAGCCAGGGTTTAAAAACTGAGGGACAAAGTATTCCAGGAAAATGTCTTGAGGCAGCAACATAAATCTGGGGTGTTTACAGTACACAAAGAAGTGTGGCCAGAGCATAGTGAACGCAGGGAGAAATAGTAGATGCAGAGAGAACAGCAGAAGCAGACAGGGTCTACATGACCTAGGGTCATAGCGGCCGTGGTAAGGAGCTTGGAATTTTGCTTGATATTATTTCATATACCCTGACTATTTATCAGAAGACCTCAATTTGCCTTTTGCCTTGTCTCTGACCTTTTAGGGCTCTCTGCTTTTGCATTTTCCCTGATTTTCTGCCTCTGTCTTTAACCCTGCTTAGCCCAGATAAGCTTATAAGACTTAAGCCTGAACTATGTCAAAATGTCATTCCATCTACTTGAGGCAAAGGGTCCTTATTTATTTGTTTGTTTATTTTTGAGACAGAGAAAGACAGAGTGTGAGCAGGGGAGGAGCAGACAAAGAGAGACACAGAATCTGAAACAGGCTCCAGGCTCTGAGCTGTCAGCACAGAGCCTTATGCGGGGCTCCAACTCACAAAGGGTGAGATCACGACCAGAGCCAAAGTAGGATACTTATCCAACTGGGCCACCCAGGTGCCTCGGGGCAAAGCATCCTTTTAAAAGCAGGGTCTTATCAGACTGCACAGGTCTCCTATCCATGAAACTGACCCTGATCTTGATAAATATTATTTTTAAAAGTGTCTTCTGTAGATGAATAGTTTCTGTTTCGTTTCACCTGATCTGTCAATTATATAAGCCTATTCAAGATCTTTTAAATGGAGTAGCTCTTCAAACATGTGGCTTAAAGGAAGCTGCCAGGAAAGAAACTAGAATATCAAGACTTAGTGAGACAACTTCATGCCATCACTGTGCACAATCACTGGAAACATCTTATTCTCAGGCAAACTACAATTTATTAGCACTTAGTATTTATTGAAATGTATTACTCTTCCTCTTTTAGGTAAAAGGAAATTATTGTAATAAATAGCAACCAAATAAATAGCTGTTTGCTAGGTGTTTCACATTGCCAAATGGATCTAGAGGTTTCATTAGGCAAATAGCTAAGAAATGCAGCTCAGTGACTAACATATTAAGATTTAAGTAATAAGTTCCTTAATTTATGTGATATATAAAAATACTAAAAAATGTACTTACAAACCCAAATTTTAAAATAATACATCTTTACAATCTTTAAGTCTTCAGGGCATCTGGGTGGCATAGTCAGTTAAGTGTCTGATTTTAGCTCAGGTCATAATCTCACGGTTCTTCAGTTCGAGTCCCACATTGGGCTCTGTGCTGACAGCTCAGAGCCTGGAGCCTGCTTTGGATTCTGCATCTCCCTCTGTCTCTGCCCCTCCCCCTCTTGCACTCGGTCTCTCAAAAATAAATAAACATTAAAAATTTTTTAACAAACAAAAAAAAATCTTTAAGACTTCAGAAAGCCTGAAAACCAAAAATCAGATAAAACATATAACTATCAAATGGTATCTATTTTTTTCCCTTTTCCCTTCTTTTCCCCTCTTTTCCCCTTTCACCCAATTTACTCACCCTCACCCCACAAAATAGTTTGTATAACGACAATTCTACCTATCATGTAAAATTGAACATGATCATAGCTAACTAGCAAGGGTTCACAAGGTTTAATTACTTACTGCTAAAGAATAGTATTACACATTAGAAGTGCCAAGTCTGAAATGTCAGTCCAGCCCCTAATATTTTAAGTTTATAATCAACACCTCTACCTGCAGAACACGGTTGCACTAACCTTGCCCTGAGGTGTTCCTATTCCATTCACCACAGAACTCATTACTTAGCATTAGTTATCATGATGATTTATGCAATATCACAAGTGCACTCAGACTCACGAGAATTATAGCTAACACCATATTACTACCATCGAGATTACTGGACCTTGGAAGGGAATAGTTTCATTTGCGGTTACAAAACAAAACAATAGATCCCAAGAAAAAGACACTGTTACTGACATATTTATACTGCTACCAGTTGCTACATGAAAGAGGTGCCTGGAGAAAAAAAAAAATGGTTGAAGGGAATGTACTGTTGGCTTCAGTGACATTATTGTTTGCTTGGGGTTTGTGTCTATATTGTAAGAAACTTCATAGATTACAGGTCTTGTCCTGAAAAAGCTGACAATCTGGTATAGGAATTAAGGTAGAGAGAGATGAAAAAGATTTTCAGATGTAGCACAATACAAATAAATTTAAAGAATCACAGCATCTTGAAGTTTTTGTGTCGGAAGAGGAAAGAGTCAGAAGGTACTCGGATCTCACTGGCTTTGCAATTTTCTGGCCTTGTGACTACAAGTTAATCAATTACTTATCCTCTCTCAAGGTGACCATCATTACTCACTGCGATTGCCTCCTAATAGCTCTACTTCCACTTTTGCCCCCCTCCCTTTCATCTCTTCTCCACAACATAACCAATGTGTTTTTTTAAAAATGTGAATCAGATCCTATCACTTATATGTGTCAACCTGAATTCTGCAATAACTTCCTATTACTTTTAGAATAAAATCCAAACCCTTGGACAGGGCTTAAAAGGCTCTGTATTATCTGGCTCCCATATACCTGTTTTGACCTTATTTCCTATGAGTTTTCTCCATGCTCACTATGCTAAGAACACGCTGGCCTCATTTTTGTTCTTTAATGCTATCTAGCTCTTTCTTGCCTCTGGGCCTCTGCGAGACTTGGAACTGCCTGGAACTGCCGTTGTGTAGGCAGTTCCTTATCGTGTAAGACTAGGCTCCAATGTCACATCTTCAGAAAGACGTCACTCGGCCCTTTTCATCATTCTTAATCACACTATCCTATTCTATTGTCTAACTGTACTGATTGTTATCTGAAATTCTCTCATTTATATATCTGTTACTTGATTACCTCCCAGGTCCCTTAGGAGAAAGTACACTTTATAATAAAGTAGTGATTCATGCTTGACTTTCTCGGTGCGGTAGCGTCAGTAGGTTGAACAAGGTCTGGTCCATGGAAAATTGCAAAAAATAAATGCTTTTGTTAAATAAATGTTATCTAATACCAATTTTAATAAATCAATGTTACTTAAATATGTCTCACGCTTTCGGTCTCCTCATCCATAAATGGGGAATAATCCTACCTGTGCCAGTCATTAGAAATAGAGCTTAACGTCTACTAAATTTTTACTGTCTCAGGCACTGTGAAAATCACCTTATTGCAAACTCTTATTTATGATTATGATATTTCCACTTTATACATAAGGCCACCATGTCTTAGGTCAAATAACTGGCCTAAGGACACAAGCCCATGGTGGGGCGCAGGTATGACCCCAGAGCTGCCAAACCTCAGAATGCGGGCTTTTACTCACTACTTTACAGTTCCTAGAAAGAGGCTTCCTTCCATTACAGCAAAATCAGGCTGTGCCCTCAGCCCTAGTTCGTTCGTCCTGTGGGTCAAGTGAAGAGAGGTATTGCATCCCCCATGGGGTTCTTTTCCAAGATGAGCATCCTCATTTCTTTCGATCCTTCCTTTTTAAAGGATCCTCACATCTTGGTCACTCTCCTCGGGACAAACTCATTGGACAACGTCTTTCTGCCCCAGAACTGGTCGTTTTAACCAGACAACTGGTTAAGAGGCATCTGAGAAGCCGAAGCCAATTCCCAGGGGGGGGCGAGAAAACGCAGACGGGTGAGCGTTGTGCGCTGTGAAGAACACAGGCAGGCTTCCTGGAAGAGGTGATCCCTGAGCTCAAGTCCCGGGCAGTAAACAGCGACCAGCGGCTCAGGGCCGCTAGGTCGAGACAAAGGGTGGTGGAGTTTAGGCAGATCAGGGGCACAAGCCCAAATGGTGATGCGCTTGCACGCGGCGGAACGCAACCTGTTTTCCTAAAGAGAAGTTAGCATAGGCACTGGAGAGAAGCACAGTGGGAGGAACACTCATGAAGGAAAACGCGAACTTACCCGTAATCTGGCAACCCGGCCTCCGTAGCCCGACTGCAAGCGCAGCCACCTGAGGAGTCCCGTAGCCAAAACAGCGGCACGCTCATCCCAGATGTCGCGAGACTGAGCTGGCCTCGCGAGATCTGGCCGTTCTTCCCTGACGTCCTGAGCTCTCTCCCGGGGGCTATGGGAGGGCTCTGGCGTCCCGCATGGAGGCGCGCTGCCTTCTGTGGCTGGCGCGGGAGCCAGCCTGGGTCCCCGACTTGGGTTGCGGAGAGGGTAGAGGCATATCTCAGAGTGGGAAGAATTGGGACAGGAAGTGGTGAGAGGGGGCTGAGGTGGCTTGGGACATGGAGGCGTCCAAACCCGGCCCGGGACCTGGCCCTGCAGCCGCCGCGGCGGCCGAAGAGCACGAACCCTTTCACGCGCGCGCAGGAGGAGGACTGGCGGCGTCGGAACAAGACGGTCCTCACGTACGTGGCCGCGGCCGCCGTGGGCATGTTGGGGGCATCCTACGCCGCCGTGCCCCTTTATCGGCTCTATTGCCAGGTAGGCGCCGGCGCCGCGCCCTAGGCTGTGCCTTCGGGAGGGGGCGGCGGTGCAGGACAGCTCCCTGGACAGCGATCCCTCCTCCGTGTCGTGCTGCAGGGATGTCTGCCGGTTGTCCACCAGAGAGGAAGCAGGCTTTAAACGGTGATTTGCCCAAGCTTACCAAAAAAGTTGCTGGCAAAGTTACAAGTAGAATCCAAGCCCCTTTAGTGATCGTGCTTATAACCGACCACACTGCAGACTGAAATTCCCTATCTCTGAGCTACATCGCCTTAAAGGGCTGCAGCCTTTATACTCTGCCATCCCCAACCTGCCGGTGCCGGTATTACCCTCTTGTTGCTCAAACACGTGTTCGCGTTTAAAATGTAAATTCCATTAGTACAGTCATTCTGTGAACCGTGTATGGTTTGTGTGCGAAGGTTAACTCTGGAAATGGGAGTATGCTTGTAATGTGGGCTTACACTGGGAGTGGCGTTTAATCCATACACAGAGGCGGCCTTCACTGCTAGTATATGACTGTCTTGTGCTTACCCAGGGCTCTCTTTAAGATCAGAAACCCTAATGCAGTTGTTCTTCAAGTGTGGTTCCCCGGAGGACCAGCGTCACATCACCTGGGAACTAGCTGCACATTCTTGGATCAAGTTGCAGAGCTATTGAATCAAACTCCGGGGGGGTGGGGGGGGGTGGGGCAGCAATCTGTGTTTTAATAAGTCCCGTAGCCGATTTTGATGCGGACTAATATTTGAGGACCATGTGCAAAGCCACACTTTTATTTCATGTATCTTCTCCTTTGCTGCTTTGGCTGGTCATTAGGACTATTTAGTGGAGTTTCTTTAATAAATATGTTAGGGCTCCCTTAACCTACAAATACCGATTAGGAGGTCTGGGTAGGGCCCAGGAATTTCTGTTTAAAAAACATCACAGGTTAGAGCTACACATTGGGTTTATTCACTAAATGATAGTGGTTCTCCAGCTTTGTTGTGGTGGGAATCATCTGGAGAGCTTTGGAAAATCCTGACATGCGGGTCACATCCCAAACCACTTAAATCGGAATGTCTCGGAGTAGGAGTCAGGCATTAGTAATTTTTTAAAGATTCCTCAGGTGATCCCAGTGTGTAACAGTTTGGGAATCATTGGCTAACTGCTTTTTTCCTGCCAGTATCGTTAATGCCTGTTTTACTTGCCCTGCCCTTTAGGAGATTAACTTGCCTTTATTTCTTACAATAACTAAAACAAGTCAAAAGGACGTTTCAGTCTTCTAATATTGGCATTTATGTGGGATTGCAATAGTTTGATTCAGGAGGATGAGTGCAGAAATGTGAATTAGTTTTCATCAAATGGCAGCCTGGACCTAGCATGAATCCCAGAACTAGCAATTGGTTAAATCATAAGCAGAACTGAATACAAAATACCAGGTACAAAGCTCTGAGAACCATGAGGAGGAAGGGGTCGGCTTTATTCTTCAGGGAGTATTTAGCAATATCTGAAGACATGTTTGGTGGTCACAACCTGGGAGGTGAGCAGGGAGGGTGCTACTGGTATCTTGTGGGTAGAGGCCAGGGAGGCTGCTTGCTAAACACTCAACACTGTGCAGGACAGACATTCCCTCCTCCCCAGACCGGAGAATTAGCATGCCCTTAGTGCCAAAGCTGCGAAACTCTGCTTTAAACTAGAGTGAGTGACAGTATTTTTGTATGTGTGTGCAAATGTAGAGCAAGGTAGGAAAAACAATTGTAATTTGTAATCCTAAACTTCAGTCAACTTGGATGTTAAATTTCCAGAAGAGCATCTCTTTCACTTTTGGAATTACAGAACTTTAGAGCCCAAAATAAGGAATTATATAAACAATTTAATCCAGTGACCTCATTTTATGAGTATGGAAAGTATAGTCTCCCAAAAGTAAGATGTATTTAGTTCTTGGAGCTAGTTAGTGGCAGAACTAGACCAGAGCCCAGGAAATATTTCCATTGTCTTTCTCTGTTCTTATTTCTCTTACTATCAAGCTTGCAAATTTGAAGAATCTATATTCAAAGACTGCCTGTCAGAATACATTAAGGAATCTTTAATCAAGTGATTCAACTTCTTCAGGAGTTACATCTTAAAACTTAAGCATTATAGCCCTCTTGGGCAGAATTTACTTACTAGATAAAGATAAAAGGCTTGCCCCCTAATGCATCTTTGAAGTTTCTAATGTAATTCAGTAATGTTGCGTGGCAGTTGAGTTCAGTTAGGTGACTTGTGTAATAAATGGAAGATAGTAATACTGTATTTTTCTGGGAGTCTTCCCCTAGCCTCAAATTTGGTATTTTTTTCCTAGTATAGTAACAGATTAATTATCCGGAGACCAGAATTCTGGCAACCTCACGCATCAGAAGAATGATGACCCTGGAAGTAAGGATTTTTTTTAAAACAACTCTGATGATAAGGAGATAATCGCAATGAAGATAGGCAAGAAGAGTCAGGCACAAATTATCCTGATGTCTTAAGGTTCGTTGATTCAGTGGCCAAAGGGATCAGGTTCTCTGATTAACGGATATTCATAAAAGCTGTACTATACAAAGTAGTACAGGAAAAAATTACAGAAACATTTATTAACATGGCAAAATACTTGTGATGCTTGAGAAAAGCAGAATACAAAAGTGAAGCTACAAACTATGCCATAAAAGTTATGATATGGGAAAGGATCAGACAGGACTGTGAGTAATGGAATTATTTAAATAGTTTCATTGAAATGATAGGGTCATGGGTAACTTTTACCTCTATTAATGACTGATAGTTTATATAAAACACTGGCAATAAAGGTAAATAGGTTTAATGAAAAGTTAAGCTAAAATTCTGAGCTGTATTACCATTGGTGAGTCAGCTTTCTTCCAAATGACTCATTTTTTTTTATTTTTTTTTTACTGTGTCCAGTAACCAAGTGATTACTGAAAGAAAAAATGACTATAACAAATATAGGCCCTTGACACCCCAGAGGTGGTCAAACCATTGATACATTCATAGGAAATGGTGACAGTATGTAAACTGGGCTCCTACTAGATTATTAAATTGTTTTTAAGACTTTGTTTTTATCCAGTAATCACGTGTATTGTTTAATGTATTATACTTTAACATTCTTAATACCTTTAATACCTAGACTACTGGTCTTGGAGGATCAGCAGTAGCAGGTCATGCATCAGACCAGATTGAAAACATGGTGCCTGTGAAGGATCGAATTATTAAAGTCACCTTTAATGCAGATGTGCATGCAAGTCTCCAGTGGAATTTTAGACCTCAGCAAACAGAAATATATGTAAGTGATTAAAGTAGTTATGAAAATATTTGTGCATTGTAAAAATTATTTCATCACTTAAACTGTTTCACAATTTAGGAAACTCATGTAAATATAATCCCAAAATATAATCCCAAAATACTGATACTCCATTACTGTAATTCTTTTATACTCAGAGACTACTTTTGACAGTGCCCTATCTTAATGTAACAGAATATACTTTAAGTTATATGATACTGTAGTAAAAGTTGGTTTGGGACAATGGAAAATGTCCTCAGTTTTTATCAGAGTCGTATTAAGAGTTCACTAAGAAATTGTGTGGACAGTAATCTTGAGGGTAGGAGCAGCTGTGATGCCATGTATAGCATAGCATCAGGTAGAGATAAAGGAAACAAATTGGAAATTATTGGTAACAATGAAAAGTAGTGTACTGATTTTTTAAAAATAATTTATTTATTGTGAGAAGGAGAGCGCACGCGGGAAAGGGGCAGAGAGGGATGGAGAGAGAGAATCCCTAGCAGGGTCTGTGCCAATAGTGCAGAATCCTACGTAGGGCTTGATCCCAGGACCCTGGAATCATGATCTGACTGGAAACCAAGAGTTGGAGTTCACCAACTGAGCCACCCAGGTGCCCCGAGAGGGATGCTTTTGATATAAATTAGTAAACTGCTGCAGCACATGGGTGGCTTAGTTGGAGAAGTGTCTGACTCTTGATTTCAGCTCATCACCTCATTGTTCCTGGGATCAAGTCCTGTATTAGAATCTGTGCTGAGCGTGGAGCCTGCTTAAGATTCTCTCCCTCCATTTCTCTTCTCTCCCTCCGTCTCCCCCTCCCTTCCTCCCCCTCTCTTTCCTCTCCTCTCCCCCCAACCCCACAGCTCTTCCTAACTCACTCACATGCTTTCTCTCTCAAAAAAAAAAAAAGAATCCCTGTCTCAGGGCTCTTGGCTGGTTCTGTGGGTGGAATATGTGACTCTCGATCTCAGGGTTGGGAGTTCAAGCCCCGTTTTGGTGTAGAGATTACTTAAAAATAAATTTTAAAAAAAATGTGTGTATCTATACACACACGCACACACACACACACACATATTCTTATCTCTTAAAAATGAGAACCTTTGAAGTAACCATAATAAATAGTCGTGTTCTACTTCAGAAAAGCTCTGCTTTAAAAGTTTCCTTGGGGTGCTTGGGTGGCTCAGTCGGTTAAGTGTCTGACTTCAGCTCAGGTCATAATCTCACTGCTCGTGATTTCGAGCCCCACATTGGGCTCTGTGCTTACAGCTCAGAGCCTGGAGCCTGCTTTGGATTCTGTGTCTCCCTCCCTCTTTGGCTGGTCCTCTCCTGCTCACACTGTCTCTTTCAAAAATAAATGTCAAAAAAAAGTTTTTTAAGTTTCCTAAAATCTTGACTAACTGGACTCCTAGAGGATTTAATTGAAATTATTTCATGAGTGGAGGAATAGCCAGAAAAGCTTAATTGTGACGCTTATTGGGAAACTCTTATAAATCTTGGGTGTTCCTCCACATTACTAAATATGACTGAATTCTTCAATGATTAAGGGTTTCATAGGTTATGATTTTGAATGTTACTTCTAATTATATAGTAGTGTACAAGATATTGGTGTCTGAAATGGTACAAAGGACAGAATCCTTTGGAAATTTATTTTTTTAAAGCCTCGCAATTTTTTCCAAATGTTTAGTTTTGAGAGAGAGGGAGTGCACGTGAGCAGAAAGTGAAGTGCAGAAAGGGAGGAGGATAGAGTTTTCCAAGTGGGCTCTGCGTTGATAGCAGAGCCCCAAGTGAGGCTCAAATTCATGAAACTAGAGATCATGAGCTGAGGTAAAGTCTGATATTTAATCGAAGGAGCCACTCAGCCGGCCCTAAAGCCTTGCAATATTTAAAAAATCTGTTCTCTCAAAAAGTAAGTATTAGTCCTTTATGGTTAAATAATCTATTCGGTTAGTTTTACTCTGGTTAGAAATTCAGTTTACTCTGGTTGTAAGTGGAGTTTAATGTTAACGTCTTAAAAAGAATCTATGCTGGTCATATAATGATGTTTAGGTATGAGTGTTAAGTCAGGCTTGGGATATGATAGACTTGGCTGTCCTTGGACATTTTAAATAATTTGCAGTTCATTGCTTGAAGACTTCAGATATACAAACAAGAGGACAGTCCACAGTGATGAGGAGAGCACTGGTCCTTCACGGACGTAGGCAAATAAAATTTAAAAACCAGATGTCCATAGGTAGTATTCAGTTTATTTGGCTGACCTTCAGCATTAGTTTAAAGTATTGTGGTCTTGAGGGATAGGAAAAATAGTGACTAATGTAGTAAGGAAAGGAGGAGCTGTGAGATTTAAAGTATTGATAATGTATGTTTTTCTTAAAACAGGTAGTACCAGGAGAGACTGCACTGGCGTTTTATAAAGCTAAGAATCCTACAGACAAACCAGTCATTGGAATTTCTACATACAATGTGGTACCATTTGAAGCTGGACAGTATTTCAATAAAATACAGGTATAGTTATATGGAAACTTATATATTTTCATCATATTCCATAAACTATTTAGTACTAAACTTACTGCAGTGTTTTGTAGAAACTAATTTCTGAAAATTCGTTTCTTCTAAACATCAAACTTTTCTTCCATTGCTTATAGCAACTATGGTTCGTTACTGACACAATGAACTAAGTGGTATCTGCTTTTAACTTTAGAATTTTAACTTTAAAGCAAAAGTCAGTTAGATGAAAAGATAATGTCATTCTGTCACAGAATTAGATTATATTTAATTGTATTTTTTCATTATAATATTAATTGTAGTATGCTCACTAAAGCCAAGAAATGAACTATCGTTAAGATTTCTATTCTAACAGAAACTAAACAAATATCTTTTTATACTTCTAGTGCTTCTGTTTTGAGGAACAAAGGCTCAATCCACAAGAGGAAGTAGATATGCCAGTGTTTTTCTACATCGATCCTGAATTTGCTGAAGACCCAAGAATGGTGAATGTTGATCTCATCACTCTTTCTTATACTTTTTTTGAAGCAAAGGAGGGACAGAAGTTGCCACTTCCAGGCTATAATTGAAGTCAGCACCTAAGTCCCTTCAGATTTGTGATTTTTGAAAAATCACGTATTCAGTCTTCTCAGGGGAGAAATACTTTAATGTAAAACTTTTTAAATATACTGTGTTTATTTTTTTCAACTAATTTACCCTGTTTAAAATTGAATGAACAGTTTCAGCTGTCATAGGGAATCCATAGGCCCAAATTGAATGTAGGACTATTCGAAACCATAGAGTTTGATAGGGAATATTCAAAGAAACTCCTTTGTTTCTTAAATAAGTAGGCACGGACTTCAGTTTATTAGCTCTTCATAGCAGTGAATACTTTTATTATTCCTGGGGTTGTTTTAGGCTCTAGGTCATAACTTCTGCCTGTTTTTGTTATGTCTAAAATAGTTGGTGACTACTTTCTTTTATTGTGAATCGTCACTATTTTAAAAGCTCACAATGAAAGAGGTATCACGGAGCCCTAGGCTGCCCAGAGATTACATTCTAATTTCAAATTTGACTCTCTTTTTCCTTTAGGATCTAGGCCTATTTTATATTTTGAGTACTGACTATTTTGAAGTTTCAGCATCACGAATATGAAATAAAACCCATAAGTATATTTAGTAGGATTCTAGTACGATTTCCTGTGACAGTTCAAGTTCCTGAATGTTAAAATGTAAGTGTGAACTTATTGACATCAGAAGTTCTATGAACAGACCCTGTAAAAAAGATGTATTAAAGTGTTTTAATAATTTATCATTGTAATTTATGACATAAACAAATGCACATTTTATTCTGAATGCTTTCCAGTAGCGTTTGTTTCAATTAGAAATATTACTTGCAGTAAAAAGGGGAGAAAAAGATCATTTAGTATTATAAAGAATCATATGTAAAGGCAACTCGATACAGAGTCCAGTGACCTCTTCATGGTATCTGAAATATACACTACAATCATCAAGGCTTTTACAAGTCCTGATTCTAAACAGGTAGTAAAAAAAAAAAAAAAAGTACAAATTGACTTTTACATTCAACTTGAGTTAAATGAAGGCACTCAATAGTTTTCATAATTATTTTGTAATAAAATAATCTTTATCTACTCTTACCACAGCAGTGTGAGGATTTCTTTTCTAAATGTAGGAAGGCCTGTGAAGCCCAGGATGTTATAATTAAACCCGTTGGCATCGGTACAATGATTTTTTTTCTTCTGATGAAGTTTAAGGTGAATATAGGTTATAACCAAGTTGTTTCAAAATAAAGCTTAAGCTGTGGTCAGGAAGTATAAAAGTTGCTCTTCTGTTACTGCAGAGGAGTAATGTTCCACCATGTTTCTGATGTGCTGTAGGTCTGGTCTTCTGGGCCTCCAAGCTGCATAGGGTCTACCTTGTAGAGAGGTGGCACCTCTAAATGCAGGTAATGAGCTAGTCACCCACTTCCACCCAGTGTAAGAAGACAGCGGCCTCCAGCCTTTCCTTCTGTTTCTCCACTCCTGGATAAGGAGAGTCACAACCTAATGCAGAAAGGTGGGAATGTATTACTTCCATGGAGGAGGGTGTGGGGCATAAACAAGGTTAATGGGTTACTGGTGGCCACGCATTCATTACTAAATAAAACGGGATGACTAATACAACAAATAGGCGGAGTCCAGGCCTACCTGGACAAGCAATGAGTGGGTTCTACCACTCATTAACTATACATAAAAGATACAGGTCTAGTTCAGTGCTACGAAGTCTGTGTTGATCATTATTTTTGTTAGCATTAATACTTCTATACCGTAAATCAACTTCTACATTCTAAAGATTATTTTTAGGTAATGAGTTTACAGAGATTATATTTCATCATAATTTGAGATGAACTTTTGTACTAAGATTACACTCAGTGTCAGACTCAGATGGCCTTTACAAAATGTAAATACTAAACATATAGTGACAATCACACAGGAATTCTGTGGAATGGGGAGTAGAAGTTGTGTCCTTGAAGTCTACCTCAACAGTCACTTTCACTTTGAGCTCCTTTCTGGTGACGAACGCCAATTTCTTCATAAAGAGCTCTGAAACAAACAAGCCATCATGGCAAAAAGGTTACATATCATTTTCAAAGTACTACTTTGGCTTTAACTGCCAACACCTTAACTAAAAATCTGGTGCGGTGCTGTTTTAGGTATTCAGTCTGTATCAGGGAATAAAAACAGATCTCTACCCTGAAGCTTACATTACAGCTTTCTTAGAGCCTAATGCTGTAATTCCTATGCATCTTATAAATATATGTATCTCCTATAACCAGTTCATTTTACCTGTAACTTAATGAAAAATGTGGCTCAAACTTGAACAGTTTCCTTTCTGCTTATTAAAAAGAAAAGCAAAAATTATAGTTTTTCCAGGATTTAAAACGTTTAAAAATGTTACTGTTATTATAGTCCAAACTCCTGGGGCACCTTTAGCTCATAAATGTCATCTCTGCACCTCGTTTATAGTAATTTATGACACCGTTCTGTTCTTCATATACATCTTAAATAGGGCTGTAGCGAGAAAACATCTATACCTACAAACACAATGTTCACAAATACAGCAAGACATGGCTAGGGAAGAAAAAAATCTAAAAATCACAGCACTACAAAGCCATGTTCACCAACATCATGAGGCCCCAGGATGGTCCAGAAATTTTAATGGGTTTCCACAAAACCATTTCAACTCCCTTTATTCCTCAAATCTCTGGTCATCTTCCTCTCTCTACTCTTAGTGAGAACTATCACTTCTAAATAAATTAAATGCCTTGGTATAGAAACTTCATCTCCCTATCACCGCATCTTCGAGTCTGTCTTCCACCTGCACCACCATCTGCCTCTGTGAGCCTCCCTACCCTCTAGCTTCTCACACGTTACTACTTAGTCATCCTCCTTTCTACCACATCCTAGCCCTCAACATTCGCACATGCTCCAGCATCTCCCATTTTCTAAAATAAGGCCATATTAATCCCAGGTCTGCTTGGAGTAATCATTTTAGTAATCCCCTACCTGCCAAGCCGCCTTCCACCATCCCTTCATGTGAAATTGCCAGTGTCATCTACACTTACTATCCCTACTTCCTCTAATACAGTAAAATCTGGCTATTGTCCCTGTCAGTCTAGCAAATCAGCTTTTACACCGATTTCCTACTACTGAATCCACTGTCTAGTCTTCAGTCCTCACCTAGCCCTCTCAGCCATGTTCATCACAGTCACGCACTCCCTTCTTGCTTCCAAGATGCAATTTCCACATCTGGTGGTAGGTTCCCCGCTGCTGTCTTTTGCTCTTCATTTGTCCATTTCCTTCAACGTGCCCAAACTCTCTCTGCTTAGGGTCTTTGTACCCATTGTTCCTGGCGCCTAACAACACTGATTCCCAAACTTGTCACCAAACAGATGCAGTTCTCAACCTTAATGTCCTTTCCTCAAGCTCCCTCCAGCCCTCATTTAAGTTAGCACTTACTGTTACAAACTTTCAAGTCACCATATCCTTTCATACCATTACCACAAACTATAAATATATGTTTGCCTGCTGATTTCTTCCTCCACACTAGATTAATCTCCATGAGATTGGGGGGGGGGGCGGTTCTTGTTCAGCATTATAAATTAGGCACTAATCATTGTCCCTGGCACAGTGTTGAAGCATCTGCCAAATGAATGTGTATACATTTATGTATACAACTTCATAAATATTGTACTTGTCCAGCTAAAACAAATTCTGAACCTAGGGTTCATAGACAACCAGATGTGAAAATTCCACAAGTTTTTATATAAGATTTTGTACTTTTCCTTAGGGAGAAGTTCCATGTATTTCAGGTGACTTTCAAAGGAATTGGGGGCACCTTCCCCCTCAGAAAGTAAGAACCACAATGGTAGAGAATTCCAAAGCTTCACCTCTCCAATTTCTCTATTCTCTCACATTAAAAAAAATTTTTTTTTAATGTTTATATTTGAGAGAGTGAGAGAGACAGAATGTGACTGGGGAAGAGGCAGAGAAAAGAGGGAGACAGAATCTGAAGCAGGCTCCAAACTCTGAGCTGTCAGCACACAGCCTGACACACAGGGCTTGAACCTGCGGACCATGAGATCACGACCTGAGCCCCAAGTCAGATGCTTTGCGTACTGAGGCACCCAAGCACCCCTCTACTCTCTCACATTTAATATCTGTTGCACTGTCATATCTATTGACCACAATTTTCTAACTAGCTAGAATATATTAAACTTCACTTCTTGTTTGGATGCAACTTGATTTCTAATTTCTTAAGCTACAAATACATTCAGTGATACTTTATCAAGCGGAACTTAGGGAAATTTTGTAATCTTAAATTAGTAAAAACATTCTTAATGAACTCCTTTAACTCTGTTAAAATTCATAAATTATTCTAAAATGGATCGATAATCAGTGGTATAAAGCCAGTGGTCAGGGGTGCCTGGATAGCTCAGGTGGTTAAGCGTCCGACTTCAGCTCAGGTCATGATCTCAGTCTGTGAGTTCAAGCCCCGCGTCAGGCTCTGTGCTGACAGCTCAGAGCCTGGGAGCTGCTTCAGATTCTGTGTCTCCCTCTCTGTCTGCCCTTCCCTCGCTAGCGTTCTGCCTCTCTCAAAACTAAAATAAAAACATAAAAAAAAATTTCTTTTATATAAAACCAGGGGTCAAAACCTCAAATGCTTACACATGCCAGGCAGATCAAATAAATGGGCGAGGAGGGCCATTTGGGGTACAGTGAACTGCACAGTGTACCTTGTCTTTAAGGAAGCAGCTACTCTTCAGCCCCAACCTATTGCTAGCATATAAAACACTGCCATCGCCCTAGTATCAAAAGAATCCAAAGTCCAGAGTTATGGGTTGTTTTTTTTTTTTTTTTTTCAAACAACATCTCAGTTTTTAACTTTCGGCAATTAGTTTTTAAATGCATGGTTTGAATTCCACATAGGTCAAACAAAAGACAGCTGTAAATGAGATATTGCCTAAAGGCTGCCTGTTTCTGAACAATGGTTTCTATAAACTTGCTTTAATAATTTTGGGGGTAACTGTCATTCAAAGTATATTAAAGCTCTAACGAGCCTGCCATCCCATAAATATTCATAGACACTCCACCAATATAAATCATAAAATAATGGTACTCTAAGGATTTCAACTTGAAAAGACACACTTACATGAATCCACTTTAAGCACACTGTCAACATATTATGAAGACTAAAAACAAGTTCTTATTTGCGATTAGTCAAAGAACAGTTAAAATAATCCATCAATGCAGTGTTACTTATGTCACCAATCAGTGAATATAGTGTTCTTTTCAAACTCGAGAGAACCTTTCTCCCAAGGCATCTATAAGGAATTCGTTAATGCACATGAGGGTTCCAGTTATTTCTTAAGGTGCAACTCCAGCATTTTCATGTTTTAGTCACAAGGCTGAGCACGCTAAGACCATTAAAGCAAAAGTCTCCAGGGGCACTTGGGGGGCTCAGTGGGTTAAGCATCCAACTTTGGCTCAGGTCATGATCTCATGGCTCATGACAAGCCCCGCATCATGCTCTGTGCTGATACCTCAGAGCCTGGAGCCTGGTTCGGATTTGGTGTCTCCTCTCTCTTCTCCAACACCACTCACACTCTGTCTCTCTCTCTCTCTCTCAAAAAATTATTAATTGATTAATTACAAAAAAGAGCAACAGTCTCCATAAAACCTCAGAAGTCATTTTTAATAAGATCATTAATTTCTGCCAAGACCTAAACAAAGTTAAATGTACAACCAAGCCCCATTTAGCTGTTACCAAAGGGAACCAAGACAAAAAAATAATCATTTTGTAAATGACTTACTCTGTAGTGACAGCAGGAGCCAAGGGATCAAACTCCATTACCTCGTAGTAATTGGGTGGCTGGAGATCATTCTCTGTCATTGCTTCAGGCAAAACAAAACAAAACACCCACCAGTAAACACACACAATTAATAATCTCTTTATGATTCTGACTTCAAACATGAGACCCTGCAAAACACTGACAGCCAGAAACTAACACAACTGGTGTTCTAATGCTCCTCCCAAGCACAACAAGGATTTCCAAATTTCAACTAAAGATCCATTTCCCTCAGCATTCCAAATACAACGTTCAGCACAATACAAGCACATTTTATAATCAAACGTCGGTCATAATGATATGGGCCATGAATTGACTTCATGGAGCTTAAAGACGCACATGAAGTCCTAGTTTTTCCTCTCTCTGTATCTATTTTCAATCAGCAGTAAATCTCTGGCAGATTCCTACACTCTCACAAGTTTCCTTATTCAATGCAGATAATAGGTCTCAAGTACCTGGATGACGGGCGGGCAAGGATGGCGGTCTCTGGCTTGACAGTGTTGCTGGAACATTCTGCACATTAACTGGCTGTAGTACTGAATTTGAATATTCTGGAAACTGAAGTAAGCACAAGGCATGTTCAAATAAACATTCTACATTAAGTTTTTCTTTTATTATTTAGATTCCCAGGCTTCTAACTGGGAATTCCAAGAACCATATACTTACAACTGGACAAGAATTAGAAATTATTTATTACTTTTTTAGGTGATAACCATTTATAACACTACTTTTCTCTCTGGTTTCATGCCACTGCACCTCATTTCCCATATAAAATGTAAAATTAACATTTTTGCTAAAAAAAAAAAAAAAAAGAATTGTATGGCTCAGTCTAGATTCTGTTGTTGCACGCTAAAAAATCTCAGCTTCAAACAGGAAGATCAATCTTAACCCTACAGAAACGCCTAAGATACCACCACCAAATCAGGACTGATAAAGATTAATCTCATAATCTTCCTCATTCACTTCATGAATATGTCCTGGGTACCTGGGTGCTATAAATAAAACAGGCCAAATCTCTGCCCCTTTGAAGCAAACAATTGACAAATGTAAAGAGATGTTAGCAAGTGCTCTTAAACAAACAAACAAACAAACAAACAAAAGGCTCAGGTAGATGGGGTAGGCTATTACTCTGACAGTTAGTGGTCAAGGAATGCCTCACCACTGGGGACATTTGAGCAGAATCCTGACTGATGTGGCTGCTGTGATTATCTGAGGGGGCTCAAGGTCACATGCTCTGAAGCAGAGGAGCCCAGTGTCATTGGAGCAGAGCGAGCCAAGGAAGAGAGGTGAAGTTGAAGAGGTAATGGGAGGTGCAAGATCAGCATTTTCAGGTTTTTACGGAATACAATGGAGGAAGAAAATTCTAGGTGGGTTTAGAGCAGTTAATATGACTTTTTCTTTTTTTTTAAGGATGGTTCTGGTTTGTTTTGAACAGAGATTGCACAGTGGGGGTGAGGGTGGAGAGGGAGGTGAAGGCTAAAGCAGGGTAACGTTAGGAAGATACTGCAATATTCCTCTGGATGGTTTGGACTGTGATGCAGAAGTGGAGGTGGTGAGTATCTAGATAACGGATACACTTATCAAAGAGAAACAGGAAAAGGAAACAGGAAAGAGATGAAAAGGTGGAGAGCAAGCAGTGGTTTCCAAGGTTTTGACTTGAACAACTGCAGTAGTGGAGGGTTCCTTTACTGAGACAGGGAGAAGTGCAGGAGGTGCAGGTGGAGAGCCAGGACTGGGAAGAAAGCAAGAAGAGAATCCTCGGAAAGTGGATTTCTATGTTCTGAGTTTAGGGGAGATTATGGGCTGCAGATACCAATTATAAGTTGTCGGAATCTGAATGGTATTTTAACACTGGAGACCAGAAGACCATGGAAGAATGAAAGTAGAAGTCTGAAACCTAAGCCCTGGGATCTCCAATACTGAAAGGCCAGTAAAAGAGTGGGGGGCAGCAAAGGAGACATAGTGGAAAGGAGGCAAGAGAAGAAAAATGAGTGGTGTCTGAAAGCCACATGTGCAGAACAGGAGGAAGTGACTGACTCTGTCACCTGCTGCTGATAAATCACGTAAGACGAGGATGGAAATTTGCAGTACTTGATTTGGTAATGTAGAGATCACGAGAGACATTGACAAGAGGTATGCAGGAAAGCCGTAGGAATGAGAGCCTGTCTGAAGTCTGTGAAAGAAGATGGAAGGAAAGAAGAGACAGCTAATATAAACGAGCACTAAAGGAATTGTGATCCTGAACTATTTTTCTAACAGAAGTTAAGAACTTGTCCATCTTTAAGATGAAAAAAACCACAAAGAGAAGTCCTAACAAGGGCTGTATCAACACGTTACAGGACACACAACAAAACACTAAGCAGAACATGAGATTTAATGACCAGGAATTCCTTCTTAGCCACGACAACCTGCTGACTAGGTGGGCTGCCCGGGAAGTTTCATTACTTACACTCTCATAGGTATGATTTGCGATGATGTTTTGGCCGGTCCTTTGAGCAAACCTAGGAGAGTATGATAAGACAGCATGATTACCCTACAGTGAGAACACAAATGCAAAAAGTAAGATGACTTCCTACAAACAAAACCTAAAATGTACTTTCAGACTGCAATGGAATATTAACTTTATATAACAACTGCCATCTGGTTTCGGCACTCACCAGCTTTTCATGTCTGAATACCAAAGAGTAAAGACAAAGTACTGTTCATTAGCAGTGGCAGCCCTGAGATCCTGAAGTATACATAGTACACTAGTGAGAACAAGCCTTCAATCTTTCCATTAGAGTAGCTACCATGCATCATTTCCTGAAGGATGAGAGGCAGTACAGAGTAGAGGGTAGAAGGGGGGAGGGTCCTGGTTGTACATCTACAGCAGATATACTTTGCCCTGTCTCTGCCACTGAAGGAATCTCTAAAACCAGAACAGAATGCACAGGGCAAATATCTGATGACTGAAAAGTTAATAGGTACAGGATGACTGGGAAGGAAGACTGGAATTTGAGTATCTATGATGGATCATTAGTGAGGTTTTTTTTTTTTTTTCTTGCCTCTCTGGGCAAGAAACATTCTCTGGTATTCCAGAACCTGAATGCAATGAAGCCTAAACCCAAGAGTGGGCAGTAAGTACAGACAGCTCCAAGAGAAGCCCTTCTGTTTTCACTCAAGGGGCAGGAAAGAGAAGTCAGAGATAGTGTGGAAATCCCTTACTCTCTTTTTTCCTTTCCCTTCTGTTCTCTCCCTCTCTATACCTGAGGCAATCCTAAAATGGCTGGAGTGACAGTAGAAGCCAACAGACTTAAAAATTTGAGAAGAACCTTCCCTTCCAACAGGTGTAACTCTGATCCCAGAGGACAGGGCAAACTCTATTTTTTTTGTTTTTGTTCTTTCCTTTCTGTCCCACCATTTGGTCCCAGACACAAGCATAGTCAAGGAAATAAATGGTATATAGTAGGGTAATTGAAGCTCCAGCTTTCTGACTGGAGAACCAAAAGGCAAATCCTAGAAAAGCAGAGCACTAGAGAAATCACAAAGAGGGAGGAATTTGGAAAATCAACCTTAATGTTGTTTATGAAATCTTGGGCTCACTTCCTGATCTGTGCCTCTGTGAATCTGATCCAAGTCAAGATGCAGAGATGTTGCAAACTGAACATATACCCATTCAGGCCTCAGGGCGGCCCACATGAGGCAGATCTGAAAAGCACTGCAAAGTCTTTGAAAACATAACTATGTTGGAACCATGGCACAGGAAAAGGGAGGCTGAAACTGTGGCATGAAGCTAGCGAGATTGTTTGCCTTCTAAAATCAAAAAAGCACCATCTTTGACAGGATTCAAAGACCAAAGTGTCTCATAACATTACAAATGCCCAAGACACAATCCAAAATTACTAGGCATGTGAAGAACTAGGAAAATTTCAACAGGCAAAACAAAACAAAACAAAAATCAACAAATCCTAATATCAAGAGGACATACATGTTAAAATTTTTAAAAAATTTGTTTATGTCTTTATTTTGAGTGAGAGACAGACAGAGAGTGAATGGGGGAGGGGCAGAGAAAGAGGGAGACACAGAATCTGAAACAGACTCCAGGCTCTGAGCTGTCAGCACAGAGCCAGATGTGGGGCTCAAATCCATGGACTGTGAGATCATGACCTGAGCCGAAGTCAGATGCTTAACTGACTGAGCCACGCAGGTGCCCCATAAAATTATCTCAGATTTTAAAGCAGCCCTTATACAAATGCTTCAACTAGCAACTCTGAACACTCATGAAAAAAAAAAGAAAAAATAGTCATTTCAAAGAAAAATAAGACCTAAAGAAGAGCCAAATAGTAATTTCAGAATTGAAAAATACATTAACTGAAGTTTTAAAAAATTTACAGAATGAGATCCATAGCAAAATGAGGATGAGAGAGGAAGTAAATGGCAAACGTGAACATAAATAGAAATTATCCCATCTTATAAATATAAACAAGAAGCAACAACAAACCAAAAAACAGAGGAAAAAAAGTGAAAAAAGTAATGGACAGAACTCTAGAGATTTACAAGACAATGATGATATCAGATCTAACATTTGTACCATCAAGAGTCCCAGAGGGACAGTAAAAAGCATACTGTTGGAAGAACTATTTGGAAAAACTCTAAGGCTAAAAACTTCATAAATTTGGTAAAAGACAGAAACCCACAGATTCAAGAAATGCAGTGTAGTGAGTTGAGTGGTGCCCTCCACCCTCAAAAGGTATGTCCTTGTCCTAATTCCTGGAACTTATGTATGTTACCTTATTTGGAAAAAAGGTCTTTTTTAAAATGTTTTTAAAGTTTTTATTCATTTTAGAGAAAGAGAGAGAGTTGTGGAGCGGCAGAGAGAGAATCCCAAGCAGGCTCTGCATAATCAGTGCAGAGCTCAATGAGGGGCTCAGACTCATGAACTGTGAGATCATGACCTGAGCCAAAACCAAGAGTTGGATGCTTAATGGAATGAGCCACCCATATGCCCCGCAAAAAGGTCTTTTCAGATATCATTAAGGATCTCGAGAAGGTGATACCATCCTATATCACTCGAATGGACTTTAAATTCAAAGACAAGTGATCTTAGAGAGAATAGCAGAGGCAGATCTGAAATACACAGAGAAGGCTACATGAAGGTTGAGACAGAAAGTGGAATGATGTGGGCCAAGCCAAGGAAGCAAAAAAATGCTGACAATCATCAGAATTTAAAAGACGCAAAGAATGGCTTCTCCCAAAAGAGCCCGGCATGGAGCATAGTCCTGCTGAATTTCAGATTTCTAGCCTCCAGAACTAGGAGAAAATAAATTCCAGTGGTTTTAAACCACGCAGTTTGTGGTGATTTTTTTGATGGCAGCCACAGGAAACTAATACTCTCAGCAAATCCCAAACAGAATAAACCAAAAGAAATCCATGCCCAGACATGTCATAATCAAACTGTTCAAAATCAGGAAAAAAAGCATGGTCAAGATGGCTGAGTGGTCTAAGGCGCCAGACTCAAGCTTCCGCTTCCCAAAATCAGGAAAAAAAATTCTTGAAAGCATAGCAGAGATAAAATAATACATTATCTATAGAACAATGATCTGAATGAATATAGACTTCTCTCTTTTTAAAGCATTTTTTTATTATTGAGAAAGAAAGAGAGAGAGAGAGAGAAAGAGAGAGAGGGAGAGGGAGAGAAAGAAAGAGTGCGCAGAAGAGGGGCAGAGAGGGAGACACAGAATCCGAAGCAGGCTCCAGGCTCTGAGCTGTCAGCACAGAGTCCAACGCAGGGCTCGAACCCACGAGCAGTGAGAACATGACCTGAGCTGAAGTCGGACGCTCCACCAACTAAGGCACCCAGGCGCCCCAAGACTTCTCACTGGAAACCACTTTAGGTCAGAAGAGGGGGGCAGCAATGTTTAAAAACCAAAAGAAAAAACCACCAACTTGGATTTCTACATCCACTGAAACATCCCTTGGGAAGAAAGATGAAATAAAGACATTCTCACATGAAGAAAGATGAGATTTTCACTGCCCATAGCCCTGCTCTAAAAAAAAAAAAAAAAAAAAAAAAATCACAAAAGAAAGCTCTTCAGAAAGAACGGAAATTATATGAGAAAATAAAAGATCAACATAAATGGCAAATATTGGGTAAAAAAAACAATTCTCTTCTTGTGTTCTTTAAAATATATTTGAGAGTTGCACACAAAAATTATACCTGCCTGTTGCTCTTCTTTTTCAATGTAGATATAATATATACAATAACTATAATAGAAAGGGAGGATCTCTATGTTTTCTACATTTCACTTTAAGTGGTAAAATACTGGTTCTAAGCAGACTAAAATATTATGTACACTGTAGTCCCTAGAACCGTCCCCTCCCTCCTAATATAAACTACACAAAATTACAGTCAAACTCACAGTAGGTAAGATGGAAGGAATACTGAAAACATTCAAACAAGTCAAAAGCTGCAGGAAAGAGGAAACAGAAGAAAAACAGCAACAAAGGAGAAAAACAAGAAAGAAATTATAATGCTCAACCAAAACCCAAGTATATAATTACATTAAATATATGGTCGAAACACACCAGTTAAAGACAGAAATTATGAGAATACATAAAAATGCATGACCCAACTATATGCTATCTATAAGAAACTCACTTCAAATATTTTGATATAGTTAAAAGTGAAAAGATAGAAAACAATATACCATGCAAACACTAATCTAATGTGGCTATATTGGTACCAGAGTGGACATCAGGACAAGAAAACTCAGAAGGGACAAAAAGGAACTGTGCATAATTCTTTAAGGGTCAATTCGCCAAGAAGACACAACAATCCTGAATGTATATGCACTCAATAACCAAGCTTCAGAATACATGAAGCAAATATCAATTTTACAGAACCTTTCCTAGAAATATTACATACAGCATGATTCTATTCAGATGCCATTTAAAAAAATTTTTAATGTTTTTATTTATTTCTGAGAGAGAGAGAGACAGCGTAAACAGGGGAGGGTCAGTGAGAGAAGGAAACACAGAGTCTGAAACAGGCTCCAGGCTCTGAGCTAGCTGTCAGCACAGAGCCCGACATGGGGCTCGAACCCATGAACCATGAGATCATGACCTGAGCTGAAGTCGGACGCCTAACCGGTTGATTGAGCCACCCAGGCGCCCCTAGATGCCATTCTTGAAAAGACAAATTATAGTGATGGAGAACAGATTAGTGATTGCTGAAGGGTGAGTGTGGGAGGGAAGCACTGTAAAGAAATACCACAAGGGAATTTTGGGGGTGATGGAACTCTCCTATACCCTGTGATGGTAGTTACGTGAATCCATACATATGTTAAAATTCATAGAACTGCACACAAAAGAAAAACAAAGAGGTTAATTTTACCTTACAGAAATTTTTAAAAATTAATTAAAGCACAGAAAGAAAAAAAAAGAAAACAGGCACTGAAATCAGACCCACTTGAATTTGAATCAAATTGGGCAATGCCTTTGGGCAGGTTAATCTTCCTCAGCCTCGGTTTCTTTACTTTTGAGGAAATGAGAATGAGAGTGCCCACCTCCCAGCACTAGTAAGTAATTAGAAAACATTTCTTATTTTAGGGGCGCCTGAGTGGTTCAGTCAGTTACGCATCCAACTTCCAGCTCAGGTCATGATCTCGTGGTTCGTGGGTTCGAGCCCTGCATCAGGCTCTGTGCTGACAGCTTGGAGCCTGGAGACTGTCTTCAGATTCTGTGTCTCCCTCTCTCTGACCCTCCCCTACTCACTCTCTCCCTCTCTCTCTCAAAAATAAATTTAAAAAAAAAAAAAAAGAAAAAAAAATATTTCTTATTCTTGTTAGCCTGTACTATAACAGTAAGTAGACTATGAATATGTCCTGTTACTTTATCCCATAATCATTATTTCTCCAGATCCCCTTTCTGTCATGATTAATTCCATTACTCAGTTGTTCTGTGATGCTGAACAAACACAGAGGGGTGGAAAATTCTCAAGAACCTAAGACATTGTTGATGGCTGTTTTTGCCTTTCATATGTGTTATCTAGCATAGGATTTAACCTAGGCCTATGCCTTAGGTAACTTTAGTGCTTCAATTCCTGACACGGTCAAAAACTGGTCTAAGTATAGTTTCACTCATGTATAGCTTTTTTCAAAATCAAAAAATAGATACAAAAGTCTGTACAGAAAACAAAATACATTATACATTATCTTTTACTCCAGTGAATTCCCAGAACTACGATTATTTTGATATCTGGATGTTGGGTGAACAATTGTTCCGGGGTTTCTAATGTATGATCAGCAAAGTACTGCTTTATGATTCTCCTGGGATGCTTTTTTAAAATATTTATTTCTGAGAGTAGGGGGAAAGGCAGAGAGGGGGACAGAGGATCCGAAGCAGGTTCTGTGCTGACACCAGGGAGCCTGACGCGGAGCTTGAACTCACAAACCATGAAATCGTGACCTGAGCCAAAGTCCAATGCTCAACTGACTGAGCCACCCAGGCGCCCCACCTGGGGTGTTTTTTTTTTTTTTAAACTAAAGAGTCCTGCTACTGAGTTAGATTTCTGGGGACCAGCAATTGTACTTTTTAATAATCCCCCAAGTGATTTTTATGCACACTACACCATGAGACCCATGATATTACAGAATAAAGTAAGCAGCTATGGGACACCTGGGAGGTTCAGTTGGTTAAGCATCTCAGGTCATGATCCTGTGGTTTGTGAATTTGAGCCCCGCATCAGGCTCTGTGCTGACAGCTCACAGCCTGGAGCCTGCTTTGGATTCTGTAACTCTCTCTCTTTCTGCCCCTCCCTTGCTCACATGTGCTCTCTCTCTCAAAAATAAACAATCATTAAAATAAAAGAAAATAAGCAGCTACAAGGCGTTTGGGTGGCTCAGTCAGTTGAGCATCTGACTCTTGATTTCAGCTCAGGTCATGATCTCATGGTTGTGGGACAAAGCCCCACACTGGGCTCTGTGCTGGGTGTGGAGCCTGCTTGGGATTTTCTCTCTCCCTCCCTCTCTCTCTCTGCCCCTCCCTACTCATGTTCTCTGTATCAAAAAAAGAAATAAAATAAGCAGCTATTAGCTACTATTTGATCTTTTTATAAGTTTTATAGAGATATTTTTGTAATAGGACTTCATCTATATATTCACTCCTTCACATTACTCAACATGTTTGCAGGATAAAGGAAAACAGAATCAGTTACTTTAGATCACATTATTTACTAAGCAACTTCCTGGAAATCTGCCTACAGCATTGCAACATTATTTGCATCACACTTAATCAAGACCAGAGGTACTGATCCAACTAACCGCTAAGGACATAGCCACTGGCTCTATTCATTTCTCAATGCATGAAGCTCTCCTTGGTCCTTTCTTCCCTCCCCACCCCACCCACTTTTTCCTCCCTTTCTTCTCAGTTTGATTCTCCTTTCTCAATCCTCTCTCTCCAGCCCCCTGCCCCCACCCCTTGTTTTAATATAGAAAAGTAATTGCAGTGATTGGTCACACTGGGTAAAAACACTAGGCTACTCTAAAAATATATCTAAATCCATTGATATGAAAACAGATGTACTTTTATCAAGATATGCCAAGATATCAAGGTTCAGAAGAGTATGTACAGTGTGTTGCATCTAATAAAAGAGAAAAAAATTCATATTCATTATTTATCTAAAGTCACTTTGGAAGGACAAATAAGAAAGTGGCTACCAGGGTAGCAGTAGGATGTGACATAGGGGAAAGGGGATAGAAAGGATGGAGGTAGGGTGCGATCCAATAATGTCCTTGTGTATCTTTTCATATTATTTTGATACCTGAATAATGGAAATGCATTGCCTATTACCTAAAGTAAATACATTTAAAAGGAAACAACAACAGCTTCTGATGTAAAGAAATCTAACCCCTATTTATTTTTTGCTGTATCTACTCTATCTTGCCTCTTCTTAACCTTAAGGGAAGCTTGGCTTTTTTAGTTTCTTCTGCTTCCTTCTTGTGTTTCCTTACATTTTTTCTTACTTTCTTATACAAATGTTTACATTTTTTCTTACTTTCTTATACAAATGCAAGATAGTGCACACATTACTTTGCAGTTCTTCACTTTATAATACATTGGTGATCGTACCTATACAGAGAGCCTACTTTTGTCCCCCAGCTGAACAGTAATACGTTGTTTAGGTATTTAACTGGGCCACAAATGATGCATACTTGAGTTGTCTCCAATTATTAGCGGTGCCCAAATGTTGTAAGGAATAATCGTGTAAACAACTGATTTTGCGTTAGTATGGATTCCTAGAAATGTATGGTGGGTTTAAACGTAAGTGCACTTATAATTTTAAAAGATACTGCCACTTTCCCTCAGAAGAACTGCATTAATTTTGTGATAGAATCTGTCTTTCCATAGCCAATAAAGCAGGTTAACAAACATTTAGACTTTTAGCCATCTGAGAGGTTAAAAAACAAAAGCCATTGTAGTTTAATTCATATTTCTCTAGTTGTATGTAAGGTTAGGCATCACTATGTATGTTTATGGGCCATTTGTATAACTTTTTTGGTGATCTATCAGTTCATCAGACCTGCTACTACATAGCTGTATGAAGTTGGGCAGTTTCTATTCGCTAAGTCTCAGCCTTTTCCTGTAAAATGGGCATAATGATAACAGCACAGCTCCAAAAATTTTTGCAAAGACTAAACGGGATAAAACACATGGCAAGTGCTCTGTAACTGTTGTGGCCATTGTTTGATTTTACTCCCTTGTCATTCAATTTCCCTGTTACCACTGAAAATAACAAACAATTTATGGAAGGCTTTACAAGCCAACTGCTGAATTAGAAGGTACTATAGCATCTCACAGAATCTTCATAAGAATCCTAGAAAGTATTCTCAGAAGGAAAATGAAGGCTCACGCTGGTTGTTTCTCATTCAAGGTCACAAAGCTGGTGGAAAGTAGAGGTGAGATTCTAACTCGGGATTGTCCAATTCCTAAGTCTCTACTTTTTCTCTTATGTCATGCTTTCTTAAATATGAGGAATTAGAATGTGATGGTAATAGCTCTGGATTCTTACTGACATACTTACAGAGGTGTTTCTGTATCTTCAAAGGCTAGCAAATCCACCTGCGGACTGGGTTTCAAGTTGTTCGTTACAACAGGACTTGGGGACCTGAAATCTAGAACAAAAAATGGCCTTGGCTTCGAAACATTTTGTCATTCAGTTGTTCTGTTGGATTTTCCACAATAAAATTAAAAAGAGAGAGACTGAGGTATTTCTGCCACCATAAAATCATAAGATTTCCTCAAACAGAAACTAAAGAACATTACTAACGGTAACTGGAATGAGAAATTCTGCCACCAAAAAAAAAAAAAAAAAAAAAGAAAAAGAAAAGAAANCAAAAAAAAAAAAAAAAAAAAAGAAAAAGAAAAGAAAGAAATAAAAGAAAAAAGATATTCTAAAGGTAACAAATGTTATTATATTGGGTTTCCTAAAATCCCAAACTGATCTAGAATGGAAGGGATGTTGTGTGTCTCACTCTGTCAAATACAAAAGTAAAAAGCTAGGGCATATATGGAACTCCACCCTCTCCTCCCCCAAGCTTTTAACCTCCTATAATCCTAAGTGAGACATCCTAAGGTAGGCAAGCCTCTAAGGCTGGGTGGCTAAAAGGTGGCAGACCGGAGATTTCAACTTGGACTTCTACCTCAAAAGCCCATGTTTTCCCCTCTCCATTTCACCACCATATAGATCAGTCTTCCTAATTCCTGACCTCTCTATCTGCATCAAATATTCCCTTACTTGATGCTGTGACTTAGCAGACACTCAAGGTAATATAGTATGTGGTTCACAGTAGTTTTAAGTTTGGCCATGGAGTTGAACCACCTCTATAAAAGTAGGCAGGTAGATAAGATGATATTCTAAGCCAGAGGGATGAGTTTCAGGGACCTACTCCCCCAGATACATCCCATGGCTATACTGGGTTTGATGCAACCATTTGCCAAGAAATAATTACACCTCCTGGTATCGTTCCCTGATATTCAAACTGAATTCAGTCCTTCTCAGATTGCATTTAATCTTGAAACCAAGGAGAACAGTTTCACATCAAGCTCTTCTGCTGAAAAGGCCTATGTGCTTATTTACTTAAGTCTGAAAGCTGAGCATTCACGGTGCTGAGTTCTCCCAGAGTGGCCCTCGGCATTGGAGGGCTTAGCCTTGGGTCGATGAGATCACAGGATGGGGCAGAAGGCCCACTGATAGTCTGAAAACAAAGCAAACAAAACAAAATTCAGGAAAAAAATGTGTCAGGTAATTTATCATGGCTTTCTCCCCAGAGACTTTTTTTTGTTTTTTTAGAGAAAGGAAAATCCTATTTAGATGCAAGTCAAGAAGGAGAACACTCTATTCAACAGGCAACACTCCTACTAATCACATCTCACCATCTACATAGCTGCTGCTTAATTAGACAATATTATGGCCTCTTATTAGTAACTTATTAATAACAAGTTGTTAAGGCAAATACTCTACACGACCAAAACCAGTTGTTAATGCCTCCTCCGTTTTAAGACTTGTTTTATGTAATCCTTGCTCCCTAATTTGTAAAATGTTCAGCTGTTTATAACATTTCTGTTCACTTACATTGGCCTCTTCCCTCCCGTTCCTGGTTTGCTCCAAAACCCTCTGTTGGTTCCGAGTAAATCTGTTTGAATTAACAAAATGTAAGCATTTAAAAGAAATCTAATATAAAAATTCTATAATCCTTCACAAATTAATACTCAAATATTCAGGAACAAAGACAATAAGCCTCACCCTCATCGACTCCCAATGAAGTCGTTTAATAATTTTTCCCCAGTTTATAGGGGTAATAATGCTTTAAGGGAAAACTGTGAGAAAATGAATACATATTAAAAACAAATAATAACTCCATCAGCTAGAAATAGTCCCTATTAAAATCATGATGTATTTCCTGTATTTATTTCTGTAAATTAATCTGTATTGAACTTAGTTGCAATCATACTTCACATTAATTCTGTAACATAATTCAATTATGTTGTGACCATTTTTCTAGTTAGTTAGAAATGCAATTTTTAGTGGCCTGCATATGTTACCTTAGGGACGTAGCACACATTTAACTACTCTTGATCACAAATATTTAAGTTGCTTCCAATTCTGCCATTATAAATAATGTTCCATAAATATTCAAAGACTTTTAACATAACTTCACTGTTTATCTTCATTTTTTTTTTATAAGACACCTGATCTCTACTAAACATATCAACCTTTCACAACTTAAGTTTTACACTGTTTGTATACTGGGAATAAAAGAGGAGCAGATAAATAAACAATAGGTCTGGAAGAAGAGTGAAGTTGAAGGCACAAGTCCAAGGTTCAGTGTCAGCTATAGGATCATGGATATAACTTCCGATCCTCAGTTCTCCATTTGCTAAAAGAGAATAGCAGCATTTGAAGCGTTTCCTCAGAACTTTATTTTCTGGGGCAACCTCTAGAAAGATAATACAAGTGGATGAGTGCAGAAATGCTTTGCAAACTGAGAGATGCTTCAGAAACATGTACTATTAGTATAGTGACACATTGACTGCATGAACCTTACACATCTTAAAAGCTTGGACTAAATTGGAACATGTACTTAGTTAAGCATCTTTCCCTTTCTAAAACACATGGTTTTTTCTTCCACCTACTTATGGCATTGGCTTCTTGTATGCTATTATGTGCTGGGTCTGAACAACCCTCAAAGATCCAGCCTTGAGTAACAAACTTCTGTTTCCTTATTTGTACAACTCTTCCCTAGATGTGATGAGTAGAGACTTTGGGGGATGTTGGAATAGGGTGAATGTACTTTGCATATGGATGGAAGTGAATCCTTGGGGAATGAGGGAGCAGACTGTGATGAACAAAAGGATGCCCCCCTTCTGAGATCTCTATATCCTCATCATGGGAAATAGAGAGCATGTTAGGTTAGATGGCAAAGGGAAGGGAAACTTTAATAGGGAGATTAAAGATCCAGGGTAGGATTACACAGATAAACAATGTAAGCACAAAGACCCTTAAATGTGGAAGAGGCAGGCAGAAGAGGAAGCAAGAATGAAACAATGTAAGAGAAACTTGACAATGATGTTGGCTTTGAAGATGGAGGAAAGGAGTCACGAGTCAAGGACCATGGACAGGCTCTTGAAGCTGCACAAGTTAAGCAAACAGATTGTCCTCTAGAGCCTCCCACAGGCACAGAGCACAGCTGATACCTGGACGTTAGCTCAGTGAGACCCATTTCAGGCTCTTATAGGGCTATAAGGTGGTAAATTTATGCTGTTTTGAGCCACTAAAATGTGTGATAATTTGTTACAGCAGCCATAAGAAATGAATACACCAAGACTACTATCCTTTCTAGAGACGAAAAATTTCTCTGCATCTAAGACTTCAGTGTTTCTCTCGCACAGCTGACAGCAGTTCTGTTAAGCACACATGGTTCAAAGCTGAATGAGAATGAGTCGTTCACAGAAGTAACCCAATCTCCTGATATCTAGACCAAATAAATACACATTTCCCTTCAGAGGAAGCTTTTAGTCAGTGGTTTTAATGGTTTGTAATAGAATTCCCCAAAATGAAAACCAGAAGGCAGCACTCTGCTGAAAACCATGCGGTTTTCCTTATTTTTCCACTTACTAAGATTCATACCACAGAAAACAAAAAGCAAGAAGCAGAAGTCTGTTCAGTTCGCAGTCAATGGCCGGTCATCCCTTCATATAAATGGCTGCTATCTCTGACAGGCAGTACGTATGAGATAGTGAAGGAAAAAACCTATTCATAGCTATTCATTTTACTTCACTGATTCTCCGGTTCATTCATGATCAATGGAAAAAACTCTAAAAGGCCCAGGGGGATGTTAATGGAGAGGACCAAGGAATTAATATTTAATGTGTCAATGGGCTAGCATTCCCCAAGGTGATTTTATATACATGAACTCATTCAATTTTCGAAATAAAAATGAAACCCTCCAAAGAGATAGTATTATCCTCTTTAACAGAAAAGAGCAAACCTAAGTCTTAAAAAAGTAAGCAATTTTCCCCAAATCATCGAGATTTGAACAACAACAAAACATTGAATCCAGTTCTATTACCCTATTTCCCTTCTGAATCACTAAATAGTGACCACACAAGGGAAAACGGTCTCACCTGAAATCCAACATCACTCCTACTGAGAAAGGAGGATCTGGAAAAAGCATGGAGAGCTCAGAAGCTTTAGAAGTACTGTGACAGTAAGTTCTACGGATTGGTTTGGAAAGAGATGAGATTCGCCTGGAGGTATGGGTTTTCTTTTTTTTTTTCCCCCCAGGTTCCTAATAATAGATCTATGGATGCATTTATGTACATTGTTTTTACACAACATTTTAAAAGTGCCAAAATAAGTTGTTTTATATAGGTGACATTGTTAACCCAGGTTCATTTGCTTTAACCTTTTATTAGGCAACTTTGCAATGTATAGGAAAGTAAAAAGAACAGTATAATGAACACCCTTTCGTTTATCAGCTGAATTTAGTAACCGTGTACCTTTACCACATTTGCTTTATAGATTTTTCAGTGAAATATTTGGATCATATACCTGATGACATTTCACCCCTAGATATTTTGTATTATTATTTTTTTAGAGTAAGAGAGAGAGGGAGTGTGCTTGTGAGTGGGAGAGAGGGGGAGAAGGAGAGCGAGAAGGAGAGAGGGGAAGGAGGGGAGAGGAGGAGGGGAGAGGAAGGGAGAGGAGGAGAGAGGGAGGAGAAGGAAAGGGAGGGAGAAGGGGAGGGGGAAATGGAGGGGAGGGGGGAGCGGGATAGAGGGAGGGAGGGAGGGGGAGAGGGCGAGGGATCCCAAGCAGGCTCCACAGTCAACATGAAGCCCCACGTAGGGCTCGATCCCATGCCCCTGAGATCATGACCTGAGCTGAAATCAAGAGGTAGACACTCAAGTGACTGAGCCACCCATATTTTAGAAAGCATTCGCCAAAAATAAAGACATTTTCCAACTGAACCACCTACTTAACGCTGATATTTTTCCCCTCAAGTCCTGAATATTCTATCCATGTTCAAACTTCTCCCATCAGCATATACATGCTTTTTAATATGAGTGTGTCCAAAGTAGGGTAAAGGCCACACATTACATTTAGTTGCGGTTTCTTTTTAATTTTTTAATGTTTTACCTTTTGACCTCTTCTTCCCCCATTTCTCCCACTCCCCACCCCTGGCATTCACCACCATGTTCCTCTGCACCTATAAGCTTGGTTGGTTTTGTGTTGTTTTTGCTTTTCTTTTTTTGTTGTTGTTAGATTCCACAGGTGTTTATACACAGCACTCTACATGAAGACAGAGGAAGACTTCGTTTGTCAGTCTAGGCATGCCACAGCTCCTTGGGGCTGGATTCTCGGTGCTCATTCTCCCTCCAGGCCTGTCTACTTTCCATCCCTTCACATACCATACAAGCTCTTGCTCTGCTCCTCATTTAACCAATGCCCACTCATTCTGCAGCTCTCTCCTCACATGGCACGTCCTCATACACGCTGCCCGTCTCCTTTCTACCTGGATTAGGTCCGGCCGCTCTTCTCACCAGACCGCCCTCGTGTACTTGGTTCCACTGCACTTACTCCAATTTCCAAGTGCGTATATTTGTTTTTAGGTTTAAGATGTTTTTCTGACTTACAGGCTTGCCTATTACAATAGATTATTAAGACTTATTTTGATGAATGACTTAGAAACAACTTAATGCCTCACAAGTGAACTGTGAGAAACATGGACTATTATGATGTAGCTATTAAAAATAACGGTTTATGGGGCACCTGGGTGGCTCCATCAGCTGAGTGTCTAACTTCGGCTCAGGTCATGATCTCACGGTTCATGGGTTTGAGCTCAGAGCCTGGAGCCTGCTGTGGATTCTGTGTCTCCCTCTCTCAGGCCCTTCCCTGCTCGCATTTTGTCTCTCTCTCTCTCAAAAATAAAGATACATTTTTAAAAAAATGGTTTATCAAAAGCATTTATAAACACCCAGACTAGGGGCGCCTGGGTGGCTCAGTTGGTTATACATTTGACTCAATTCGGCTCAGGTTATGATATCACAGTTCGTGGGATCGAGCCCCACATCAGGCTCTGTGCTGACAGTGTGGAGCCTGCTTGGGATCCTCTTTCTCCTCTCTCCCTGTGCCTCCACTCCCAAATAAATAAACTTAAAAAAATAGGTTATACAAACACATGTTATACTGTGAATAAAATCAAGAAAGAAACAAAAGTATATGTTCCATACATGATCACAATGATAAAAAAATTTAGGAGAAAATCATTTTGTCACTAATGTTTTAGTTTATTTAAAATTCTGCCTTCATACATTTTTGAATGGCAATTTAAAAAAAATCCATGTTCATATACAAAATGTCCTTACTGACTGTTTTTTTTTTTTTTAAATATTTTTATTTATTTCTAGGAGAGAGAGAGAGAGAGTGTGAGAAGAGGAGGGTCAGAGAAAGATGGAGACACAAAATCTGAAGCAGGCTCCAGGCTCTGAGCTGTCAGCACAGAGCCCAACGCGGGGCTCAAACCCACGAACCGCGAGATCGTGACCTAAGCAAAAGTCAGACGCTTAACCGACTAAGCCACCCAGGCGCCCCTGTTCTGCTTTTTTATAGACTATTTTCTTCATATAAAATATCATCCCAGGGGGCCTGGGTAGCTCAGTTGGTTGAGCGTCTGCCTCTTGACTTCAGCTCAGGTCATGATCTTGCAATTCACGAGTTCCAGCCCCACATCAGGCTCTATACTTGCAGGGCAGATCTTGCTTGGGATTCTGTCGCCCTTTCTTTGTCCCTGCCCTGCTTGCTCTCTTTCTCTCAAATAAACTTTAAAAAAATGTTTTTAAATAAAATATCCTCCCATCTCCTGTGCATATTCTATGCTTTTGTCCATCTCAAACTTAGAATAAACCTCCCTTTGTTTACATTGTTCATTTGTTTGAGTCTATAATGTGTTCCGTGCAGATGGTATCAGGTGAATAAGGTCAGGCCCTGCTATGATCAAATGTTTATATACCACCTGAGAGTGCCCAAGAATGCTCCTGGCACTGCTCAGATGTGCTTTCATTCTTGCAAGCCCTATCACAAGCTTCCAGAAGGCCAGGCCCATGTCCCCAATCTTGGAAGGAAGGCGGCCTTATCTTCAAGTTGTTCTTGATCTTAATAGAATGTTTACCTGGTAGACATTCTTTTTTTTTTTTTTTAATGTTTTATTTATTTCTAGGAGAGAGAGAGAGAGAGACAGCGTGAGCAGGGGAGGGTCAGAGAGAGAGGGAGTCACAGACTGAAACAGGCTCCAGGCTCCGAGCTGGCAGTCAGCACAGAGCCCGACGCAGGGCCCGAACCCACGAACCGCGAGATCATGACCTAAGCGAAAGTCGGACGCCTAACCGACTAAGCCACCCAGGCGCCCCTACCTGGTAGACATTCTTATAAGAATGCAAAGCAACTGCTGGAGAAAACAGAACTGGAGGAGGGGAGGGGAGGGTACACCATTAGCTCACCTCTCATATCCAAGGATGGCATTATTCAAATCCTCATTCACTTGAATTAGCTCAATCGTTACATCTTCATTCTCCACCACCACAAGCAGGTCCATGATCCTCTCCTGCATCTCCCGACACGTCTTATAAAGCTTCTGTCAAAGAAAGGAGAGACATTTCTTCTTCCACGCTAGGGAAGTTCTATAAAGACAATCAACCAATTTGCTGATCCGTATATGCCAGTTGATAACCTCCCCAATGAGTCACCTATTGGAGATTACCAAAGGACTTAATTATGCACAACTCATCCTTCTTATCAGAAAGCAATGAGTTACACATGATCATATTCTCCTCTAAAAACCAAAATAGGTGTCATAAGGACTCCATGGTACATTGCACAGAACACCAGACTAGAAATTAGAACTGATGTATGGGAATTCTGGAGGTACAGCTTACTAGCTGTAGAATACAGAAATCATTTGTTTTCCAAATCTGTTTCCTCATTTGACAAATCAAAGTTATATTAGTTTCCACATCTATACCTCAAGGGGTGACATAAAAAGCAAATGAGATGTGTATAATGAGGAACTCCGTAACTATAAAGCACTACATAAAACACAAAATGTTTATTGTCGCTATTAGCGGTAGTAGAAGAAAGTAGTAGTTAAAATACATTTACAGCAACATAATTTTCCTATGATGTTTTACTTAAATATTTAAAGTTTAAAACATTCACATTCCAAGGTAAACTGAATCAACAATAAAAAAAAACCAAAACAGTCATGGATACTGTCATTATTTGGACTACCTACAATCAATACATGAAGCCAGGACTGCACTCCCCAAACCAGCTTCTCCTCATAAGCATCAGGGGCACCTACAGCCGACCCATGGATTCAGAATCTCCAGGACTGAGGGTCTGGGAATCTACAAGCTTTTTTGTAAGCATCCAAAAGGGTTTATGTACACAGACAATTTGAAAACTGCTGCCTCACAACTTCTGTCCTCATAGGCAAGCCTGAGGACCATAAAACTAATATTCCTATTTCTTCAAACCCACCTCAGCTAAAATTTGTAAACATAATAGTACATTAAGGTCAGGCAAAAACACCTCCAAAATGAGAGCTACTGAATTTGCTAAATCATCAGACTATTCCATTACCTGACTCATTTCCCCTCGAGACAGACAGACACACAGAAAAACTTACAGCTGGCAAAGCCATTTAGAATCTCAAACAATCTATTACATGAGTCCTGACAGGAAATCTCTAAATAAATCCATCAAACCATTAATAACTGGCATTTAGACTCAGAGGTAAAAGCCACTACCCGCTACAGAATCCTAACAAAAACATTTACAAGACAAAAGGAAACAAAAAGGAAAAAAAACGATACAGATGAACAGACTCTGGGTCTTAACACTGCAATTTGCATTGAAAAAAAAAACCACCCTATTTGCTAATGACGTGGCCACTATCAGCAGTGCTTGGCGAACTTTTTTGTTAAAGGTGCAGATAGTTTTATTTTCTGCTTTGTGGACCATATGTTCTCTGTCAGAACTACCCAAGTCTGCCATTATACCACGAAAGCAACGAGGGATGATATGCAAACAAATGGGTGTGGCCATATCCTAATAAAACAAAGACAGGTGGCTTACTTACAGCCCCCTGGAATAGTACAAAGAAAACAGACCTCAGACTCAGTAAACCCAAGGCCTCTCCATATGCATACCTGACATGGGATTTAATTAACTCTTAGATTCAGTTTTGTTTTTGTTTTTTTATGCATCTGTAAAACAAAGATACCAACTTTCTTGTAGGGTTGTTGTGAGGATAGACAATGGTAAAGTTGAAACCCCATGCTGTCTGGCATACAGTGGGCAGTCAATAAATTTATTAATGATTGCATAGGGAAGTATCACTAGAAGCTTAACTAGATAACTCATACAATCCTGTACTACTCGTGCAGTTACTCAGGACCTAATATCATGCAGAAGAACGAACGAAGAAGAGCATTCAATATAACCCCTACGATGAATGAGAACTTTACCCTTAGTGAGTATAATGAAATTGTTCTCCTTGCTCACTGGCAGCTTTGCTAGAACAATGTCAAGATCAAGGAAATACAATAGCTGTTAGATGCCTGTGACAAAAATGTAGAAATTAATTTGAAATGAATTTGCAGCCAACATCAATAGCCCCTGGTCACAAGAAGACCCTCCCATTGCCCTCTCAAAAGACAGATGGAATGGAAACATGAAAGGAACATTGCATCTCTCAGCAGGTTTGCAAAGCAGAATTTGAAAAACCTCTTCAAAAGCCAGCACCCTCTGATCTTTGCAACTGATGTCTGTCTCACAGGAGGGCCAAGCCACCTGGAAACAGCCCAGATCAAGCACCGTGAACCAAGAGGACAGGTCAGAAGTCCCCCCACGGCAGGCACCTGTAGGGCCGTGGATGTGGGGAGCCGGGGGGAGAGTCAAAACACAGAGCAACAGCTGCTGGTGCATCTGTCCACAGAGCCCCTGGAATTACCCCACTTTAATACCATATCAAAGCAAAGGTAGGCTTCTCAATTAAAGGGAACTTAACAATCAATTCAAAAGTATTTGGAGTAAAACAAAAAGGAGCTTATTAAGTGCTTCCTCTCCTGACATCCAGACGGCTCCGAGTCCTCCACAGAGAACTCAGGAATTAAGGAAGGAGGTTCTTTTGCACTTTCAATTCCAGCTGTAACTGGATCACATTCAGCAACACAACTTGTAAAAAGAAAACCAGAAATGTCTGAATATCTCCCCTGAAAAAGGGAAAGAAAAAGGTTTCTTGCAAGCCTTCTCCGGAAATACTATCTGCATGGCAATACTCCTATTATCAGCCTGTAACATATTACCTCCCCACCCAAACTGCAAGAGACTTAGAGAACATCTCTATCTCAAAAACTAAAATCTATCCCCCACCCTAAAACTGAACATTTCTCAGTTTAACTTGCTTATATATAGTCTTTTTCCTTACAAGGACATCAACTGAGTGAACAGTAAATTAACTGTCAATACTCAAAAAGATCAGCTCATTAGAATCCTCTGACCCTTTTCCCTAACCAAATACGGTCAACATTTTATTTCTCCAAAAGCCTTTGTCTTCAGTAACCCTTAGCCCTTTTGTCCTAAATAACTAATTCTTCAACAATAAGCACTGATCTATTGAATTCAACAGAAATTTAATGAACTCATTCAGTGTTCAAAGCATGTACAATAAATATGTGTAGTTGTATGGATTTAGAAGTAGAAGACTTGGTTACTGACTTCAAGTTGTTTCCAACCTAGCTAGAGAGGTAGGTAAAAACAGGTTAGCCACCTATCCTAGAAAGTCAATTCAGGGCTCAAAATGAGAAGCAAGCTGGTATAATGGATAGAACATAGGTTCAGGAGAAATGAGGTTCTTCCCCAGCTCCATGACTTGCCTCTGTGTGGGCAGATCAACCCCTTTCTGTTAAGGAAGGGAGGTGGTCTCAGTGACACTGAAAGTCCCTTCCAATTTCTGAATGGAAAAGACAGTAAGAGTGTTCAGTGGAAGAGGATTTTTTTTATTTTACATTTTTTTCCCCCAACGGTTACAAATTATCCATACAGGATGAAATTTTCAATTCACCTGATTTTATCTTACTTTAAAAAAGAATTTTTTTTAAGCATTTTTATTTATTTCTGAGAGAGAGAGAGAGAGAGACAGAATAAGCAGGGGAGGGTCAGAGAGAGAGGGAGACACAGAATCTGAAGCAGGCGCCAGGCTCTGAGCTGTCAGCACAGAGCCCGACACGGGGCTCGAACCCAGGAACCGTAAGATCATGTCCTGAGCGGAAGTCAGACCCCTAACCAAATGAGCCACCCAGGCGCCCTGCCCCTCGACTCACCTGATTTTAAACTTCTCTGCCAAGTTAGACTAAGGTTTTCTCCAGTTGTACTTTCAAAATCAGAGCTTGCTTTTTTATTCTACAGAAAACTAAAACATTCCGTTCTTTCATTGTCCTTCTGGGGCTAGGCAAAAACAAGAGAAGACTGAAATGGGAGATACAGGGGAATTCAGCTATTCAAGTTAAAAGTGGCCTAAAGCCAAGCGTAAAATGCCAAGAAAACAAAAGCAAGACTCGCGCTGCTCATATCTTTCATCCCCGTGACCAGAGTAGACACTCTCAACTCATCAAAATATTCAGACTTGGATGCAGCTCTGAATCTTTGCACCCCAATGTGTCAATCTAAAATAAATCCATGGGGTGCCTGGGTGGCTCATTCGGCTAAGCTTCCGGCTTCGGCTCAGGTCATGATCACATGGTTTGTGGGTTCGAGCACCGTATCAAGCTCTGTGCTGATGGCTAGCTCAGAGCCTAGAGCCTGCTTCAGATTCTGTTTCTCCCTCTCTCTCTGACCCTCCTCTGCTCATGCTGTCTCTCTCTCAGAAATAAATTTTAAAAACATTAAAAAAATAAAAATAAAAATAAAAATAAAGCATCTGACTTTGGCTCAGATCATGATCTCACAGTTCGTGGGTTCAAGCCCCATGTTGGGCTCTGTTCTGACAGCTCAGAGCCTGGAGCCTACTTTGGATTCTGTGTCTCTTTCTCTCTCTGCCCTTTCCCCACTCACGCTCTGTCTCCCTCACTCTCAAAAATACACATTAAAAATAAAATAAATCCAGTTTCCACCCCCAATCAAATTCAAAGTCCAGGAACAATATGGCGGCAGGGAAAGGGGTCTACTACACAAAATAGTTCTTCTGCCTCAGTGTCTAACAAAGAGCAAGAGCTCTGCTAGTTAGCAGAGCTTCAGGATCTAATTGTTCAGCCTGGGCTGGGAGAACAGAAAACGGAGTTTACGTAAGTCTACTAGATTTCTTTCGGAGGGCTACAGACAGGGAATGGGCTCCAAATAAACAGAACAGGTGGTAGCAGGTAAGCATCCACAGACAAAACCAAAAGAGATTTCAAGTACAGAGACTCATTTTAATGTAAACAAATTGCATAACACTGTGACCACTGGTAAAGTACATGTACAAGAAAAGCCAATCATTTTTTTGAGAGTTTTCCTATGTGTTGAATGCCTTTTGCCCTCCAGATCCCCCATCCACATTCTGCCCTGTTCTATGCCCTTTCCTTTGGGTTCTGG